CCGCCTCTCCCAGGACCTGCAGGCAGCTCTCCAGGTAAGCAGTTCCACTTCAGTTTGTCCCTCTTCGTCCACTCCTGCTTCCTCCCTCGGCCAGTCCTCTGCTCTTCCCCACTGACTGCCAGCCTGTTGTCCTTTCCTCCCTGCTCAGGACTATGAGCTGCAGGCAGACACCTACCGCTGCTCCCTGGAGTCCACCCAGGCAGGGTCTGCCCCCAAGAGACCCCGAGTGGCTCCCCTGCAGGAGAGCATCCAGGCCCAGGTGAGATGGGACCGGGTGGGGCTTGGCGTCCCTGGGCACCAGCTCTGCAGCCTCTGAGCGGGAGCTGACCCTGCCCTGCCTTGCCCTCCCTGTGGCCTCTCTAGGAGAAGAACCTGACCAAAGCCTATACTGAGGTTGCAGCTGCACATCAACAGCAGCTGCAGCAGCTGGAGTTTGCCAGAAAGATGCTGGAGAAGGTATGGGGAGGATGGCCACTCCGCTCCTGATCGTGAGGAGGATCACCCTGCCACCTATAGCCCTGGGGTTCTGCCTCCCCCCATTTTCTTCTGAGCTGCTCTTACAGGCTTGTCTCCATCTCAGAGTTAGGCCCTGGAGATGTCGTTCAGGACGGTCTCAGCTTAGCCACAGGGCAGTTCCCCAGTGGGGACAGGAGAAAATCCCCACAAAGTCTTCAGCCTTAGGACCCAGCTGCAGTGGGCAAGAGGCCACGTAGGTCTCCTCCCTGGGCCAGAAGCTCTCCATGACTCTTGGTGATTGGCTGAGGGACTTGCCAGCTTTCTCTCACCCAGAGGAGTAGCCCAGCAGCCCTCAGAGGAGTGCGGGCACATTTCTGGTCTGGATGGAAGGGGAGGAGAAAAGGTTTGGAAAGCAGAGCCTATCCTATTTGCACATTGTAGTGCAAACTTGACCTAGACACTGCTTCTCATCCTAACATCATGGGATTGATGGGTCCTCTCAAAATCCTGCATCCAGGCATCTTAGTACTTCAGCGCCACCTCCTGGGACCTGCCGGGGAGTCTCAGGAAGCAGGGAGAAGTCTCTGATTTTGGGGGAGGGAGAGGAATGGGCTCATGTGTTTCTGACCTCCTACCCTCACCCCACTACTCTCTCCTTCTTCCTCTCACTCTGCAGAAGGAGCTCAGTGAGGACATCCAGGTGGCCCATGAAGCAAAGCAGGGGTCTGAGAGTCCAGCCCAAGCAGGGAAGGTGTCAGAGGCCCTAAAGTCCCAGCTGGAGGAGGAGAGGAAGCGGGTGGCCCAGGTGCAACGTGAGCTGGAGGAACAGAGGAACCAGCTGCTGCAGCTGAGGACCCAGCGACCCTTGGAGAGGCTGGAGGAGAAGGAAGTGGTGGAGTTTTACCGAGACCCCCAGCTGGAGAGCAGCCTGACCAGGGCAAAGGCCCAGGTGGAGGACGAGGGCAAGAAGCGGGCCGGCCTGCAAGCAGACCTGGAGGTAGCGGCCCAGAAGGTCGTCGAGCTGGAGAGCAAGAGGAAGGCTATGCAGCCTCACCTGCTGACCAAGGAGGTGACCCAAATCGAGAAGGACCCCAGTCTGGACAGCCAGGCGGCCCAGCTCAGCAGTGAGATCCAGCACCTGAGAGGTGAGAATACTGCTGTCTCCACCCGGCTGGAGGAGCTGAAGAAGGAGCTACTGGCCCTTGAGCAGAAGGAGGCGAATGTGAAGGAAAAGGTCGTGGTGAAGGAAGTGGTCAAGGTGGAGAAGGACCTGGAGATGGTCAAGGCAGCTGAGGCTCTGAGGCTGCAGATGGTGGAGGACACTGCGCAGAGGAAAGCGGCAGAGGAGGCCGTGGCCCAGTTGCAGGCTCGCATCCGGGACCTGGAGCAGGCAATTGGCGCCGTGCAGCCCAAGGTGATCGTGAAGGAGGTGAAGAAGGTGGAGCAGGACCCAGGCCTCCTCAAGGAGGCATCCAAGCTGCGGAGCCTCCTCGACGGGGAGAGGAGTAAGAATGCTACGCTGGCCCGGGAGCTGAAGGAGCTGCGTGAGCAGTACAGCGTGGTGCAGAAGCAGAAGCCCAGAGTGCAGCTCCAGGAGCGCGTCCATGAGACCTTCCAGGTGGACCCGGACACAGAGCGGGAGATCACGCGGCTCAGGGTGGAGCTGCAGGAGGCAGCCAGCAGGAGGCGCGACGCGGAGAAGGAGGTGGAGAGGCTGCTGCCCGACCTGGTAGCCCTGCGGGCCCAGAAGCCCCAGGTGGAGTACAAGCAGGTGACGCAGGAGGTGGTGAAGCACGAGAGGAGCCCGGAGGTGCTGCGGGAAATCGACCGCCTAAAGGCTCAGCTCAATGAGCTGGTGAATACCAGCGGGCGGTCCCAGGAGCAGCGCATCCGGCTGCAGGGGGAGCGCGATGAGTGGAAGCGGGAGCGCTCCAAGGTGGAAACCAAGACGGTGAGCAAGGAGGTGGTGCGCCATGAGAAGGACCCGGTCCTGGAGAAGGAGGCTGAGCGGCTCCGCCAGGAGGTGCGAGAAGCGGCCCAGAAGCGGCGTGCCGCTGAGGACGTGGTCTACGAGCTGCAGAACAAGTACCTGCTGCTGGAGAGGAGGCGGCCCGAGGAGAAGGTGCTGGTGCAGGAGGTGGTGGTCACCCAGAGGGACCCGAAGCTGCACGAGGACCACAGCCGGCTGAGCCGGAGCCTGGACGAGGAGGTGGCCCGGCGGCGGCAGCTGGAGCGTGAGGTGCAGCAGCTGCTGGCCAGCGTGGAGGAGGAGGAGGGCCTGCTCAGCTTCCAGGAGGACCGCGACAGGAAGCTGGCTGTGGAGAAGGAGCTGCGGCAGCTGACCCTGCGGATCCAGGAGCTCGAGCAGCGGCCTCCTGCGGTGCAGGAGAAGATCATCATGGAGGAGGTGGTCAAGATGGAGAAGGACCCAGACCTGGAGAAGTCCACGGAAGCCCTGCGGCAGGAGCTGGACCAGGAGAAGACCCGGGCGACGGAGCTCAGTCGGGAGTGCAAGAGCCTGCAGGTCCAGCTTGACGTGCTCCAGAAAGCCAAATCGCAGGAGAAGACCATCTACAAGGAGGTGATCAGGGTGGAGAAGGACCCGGTGTTGGAGGGTGAGCGGTCCCGGGTGTGGGAGATGCTCACCAGGGAGCGTGCCGCCCGGAAGGGCCAGGAGGAGGCCGTGCAGGGTCTCCGGGAGCGAATCGACAGGGCCGAGGTGCTGAGCAGGACCTGGGCCAGGGAGGAGGCCGACCTCCAGAAGGTCCAGAAGCAGGCGAGTCAGCAGTGCCGGCAGCTGCAGCAGGAGCTGAGGGAGCTGGAGAGACAGAAGCAACAGAAGGTACTAGAGCTGCAAGAGGAGTCGAAGCTGCTCAGCCAGAAGACAGAGAGCGAGCGGCAGAAGGTGGCCCAGCAGGGCCAGGAGCTCTCGCAGCTCAAGGCGGCAATCCTCCATGAAAAGGATCAGATTCACGAGAAGGAGAGGACCCTCCGGGACCTCCACTCCAAGACATGCCGGGAGGAGCTCAACCAGGAGACCCAGACGCGAGAGACCAACCTTTCTACCAAGATCTCCATCTTGGAACCCGAGACAGGGAAGGACATGTCCCCATACGAGGCCTACAAGAGGGGTGTCATCGATCGAGACCAGTACCTCCAGCTGCAGGAGCTCGAGTGTGACTGGGAGGAGGTCACCACCTTGGGCCCCTGTGGGGAGGAGTCGGTGCTCCTGGACTGCAAGAGCGGGAAGCAGTACTCCATCGAGGCCGCCCTGCGCTGCCGGCGCATCTCCAAGGAAGAGTACCATCTCTACAAGGACGGCCACTTGCCCATCTCCGAGTTCGCCCTGCTCGTGGCTGGGGAGACCAAGCCCTTCTCCTCGCTCTCCATCGGTGCCATCATCTCCAAGTCCCCGGTCGCCTCCCCAGGCCCCCAGACCTCCAGTTGCTTCTCTTCCGGCTTCTCTCTAGGACTTGGTGATGACAGCTTCCCCATTGCCGGGGTCTATGACACCACCACAGACAACAAGTGCACCATCAAGACGGCCGTGGCCAAGAACATGCTAGACCCCATCACTGGGCAGAAGCTGCTGGAGGCCCAGGCGGCCACGGGGGGCATCGTGGACCTCCTCAGCCGGGAGCGCTACTCCGTGCACAAGGCCATGGAGCGGGGACTGATCGACAACACCTCCACACAGAGGCTGCTCAATGCCCAGAAGGCCTTCACTGGCATTGAGGACCCCGTCACCAAGAAGAGGCTGTCGGTGGGCGAGGCCGTCCAGAAGGGATGGATGCCCCGGGAGAGCGTGCTCCCACACCTGCAGGTGCAATACCTGACCGGGGGGCTCATTGACCCCAAGAGGACAGGCCGCATCCCCATCCCGCAGGCCCTACTCTCCGGAATGATCAGTGAAGAGCTGGCCCAGCTCCTGCAGGATGAGTCGAGCTACGAGAAGGATCTGACAGACCCCATCTCCAAGGAGCGGCTGAGCTACAAGGAGGCCATGGGGCGCTGCCGGAAGGACCCCCTGAGCGGCCTGCTGCTCCTCCCGGCCATACTGGAGGGGTACCGCTGCTACCGCTCAGCCTCCCCCACCGTACCGCGAGCCCCGCGCTGACCGGGGCCAAGCAGTCACGGGGAAGTCCGAGGAGGTGGGGCTTCCCTCGTCTGATGGCTGCTCTGTCACTCGATGTTCCTTCACGGTGTTGGCTCCCTCCCCTAACTTTGGTGCCCAATCCATTCCTAGACCCGGTGATCAGCAGACCTGTTTTCCTCCCTCCTCCCCCACCCAGTACTTCCAATAAACGAATTCTCCCTGTGTCTTGTTCACATTTGGGAATATGAAACGGGTCTGTCTGGGACATAAGCACCAAGAGCACCACTGCTGCTTCCTTCCCAGGCGGGCAGTGGATGTGTCCACTGGCCCTCCCAGGAAACGGGTGCTGTCAGAGGGCTAGGCGCTGACTCTGGGAGGGATAAGCTGGCAGGTCAGGGAAGACCGTGGATGGCAAAGTCCTGCTGTCCTCCCAACCCCCGGCAAAAAACACGGGGAAACTCAAAGTGCATCACTTTTATTTCCTGTTCTTAAAGCCAGAGGCAAACAAATGTAACATCCTCAGTGACAACTACTTAGAACAGCCCACACACACCAACCTCCCCTGGGACCAGGAAAATGTCCCCTCTCTTCCTCACCTTGCTTCTCGTTTAACTTGGGACTCTTAACGGGAACTCAACTCTTCTCCCAAACATTTTAAAGCCAAAAAGACCAGCAGGGGGCACCCTTTACCTCAGGGTCTAACTGCAGCTGAGGGCTGGGCAGGTGAGTCGCCAGGAGGGCCTCGCTGGCAGCAGGGGCAGGCTTCCTGTCCTCCTCGGCACCTGTTGTTCCAGTGCCAAGGGGCCCAGTCTCTAACCCCTTCATGCATGGGGGGCTTCTGGGCCCCCATCTTGAAATGGCACCGCCAAACCCAACAAACAGCACAGGAACTCGCTAACCTGCAGGCAGGGCTAACCCAAACTCAGCCCTCTGACAGCTGATGCCAAATTCCTTAGAGCTCTGCTCCCCCCGCAGATATGTTTTCTTTCTTGGGAAGTGCGAGGGGAGGCAGCTGGGGCAGCAGCTGGAGAGAGGCTTTGAGGCCACATTCTCAGCGGCAGAAGTGCTCCAGCGCACAGCGGTGGGGGTCCGGCGGGGTCTCCGTGGACGAGAAGTATGCGTGAGCAAGGGCAGCCTTGGCTGAGATGCGCTGGCTGGGGCTGTACTGTAGGAGTTGCTGTGAAGGAAAGAAGGAAGGAGGAGGAGAGACTGGGCCTGAGTGTGGCCAGGGGAGGGAGAGGAATTTCCCTCCCAGGTAACACCAGGCTGGAGAGCCCCAAGCCCCAAAGTTGCCGCCTTCAGACCCAGAACTGCAGGAAGCCACTACCTCCCAGCTCAAAGACGCTCCTGGAATGTGGAGGTAAATTAGTTCTGGTCCAGCCCTGTTGAGTCACCCCCTCCCCCACCCGCCGGTCTCCTTCAGGCGACTGAGGCTGAGTCTGTCCTCCCTACCTTACTGAGGTTTCCAGGCCCCAGCCCACTTCTAGTTGAGACAGACTTCTCTGTGTGTATCAGGAAGTCGGGGAGCGTACTTGAGGGTGGGCAGGGACTCTGTGTCCCTAAACCCAGCCAGGCTGTGGAAGGACCCCACTGCCTTGGAGTAGCCAAGAGGGAGAGTGCCAGGAGCCTTGGTTGGAAGTCTGTGCTGTCCTGCTGGCACTGGGTTGGCAAACACAGAGGTCTGCACAGCTGGACACACAGCCTGCAGATGAAAATACTGCCCAGGCTGCCTGTGGTCCAGCACCAGGTTAAAGGGAGAGATGTGGCTGTGAGTCTTTGTGGGTGAGAATGGGCAGTCTGCCTAAGGCCTTCTGGGCAGTCTAGCCTGGGCCAGCCCAAGGGGTCAAGAGGGTGCAACAGGAGAGGTGAGTGAGGACAGTGGCAGCAGGAAACAGCCTGTGTGAAAGTACCCACTGGGGAAGGCCCTGTGGGGACTCCTGAGGCAGAGTGTGGTCCCTGCCAGGGAAAGCTTACAGCTTCGATGGGTAATAAGTCCACGGGGAAAACTACCAAAAACACAAGGCAACTTAGGAAAAAGGGGCAAGATTCACAGCATAAAAATGAAGCTAACTAGAAGAGCAACGTTTTAAAAGGGAAGATGAACACCGGACTTATCACGGCAGAGGGCTCCAGGTGGAACAATCAATACGCTCAGGGACAGAGGGACAAGCCAGCTGTATACAGAGGTCAGAAAAGTGGCCAGCTTGGACTCAAAAGGAGCCAGTTACATAAGACACTGGCTAACAAAGGGGACACTTCTGGTTGGAGCCGCAGCTGGAGGCAGGAGGCCTTTCTTGCCTTCCCCTGCCGCCCATCTGTACCTACCGTGAGCAGGTCCCTGCCTTCCTGTCCCAGATTGGGTACAATTTCCTCCAACCCCTTCCTGGTCCACTTGGGGAAGCTGCTCTTATAGTCAGGCAGTTGGGTGACTCCTGGCCACGTGGCTTCACTGGGTGTCCCCAGGGTTCGAAAGATACGAAAGAGCTGGTCAATCTCCGAGTCACCAGGAAACAGCGCTCTGCGGGTCACCTGGAGAGGGGACAAGGGGAAGGTGTGGGCCCACTCCCTTATCATTCAGAATCCATCACCAGATAAGAGGCCAGACCAGGGAGGCACCTTCAAGGACTCTTTCCCAGGGCTGTGCTAAGGATCCTGGCCTTTCTGGAATAAGGCCCGCTTCCTCAGTCCTTCAGCCAGTCCCAAATACCCCTTAACCCACTCCTCATAGAAGAATCAAGGGCCCCACCCCCATCCCAGTAGGACTCTACCTGTGGCCTCCCCGTGGCCATGTGTGTGCTTCTCTCTACCTACCATCTCTGCAAAGATGCAACCAACACTCCAGATATCCACAGCTGTTGAATAGAACTTGCTGCCCAAGAGGATCTCGGGGGCGCGATACCAGAGCGTCACCACCTGTGAGGACAAGAAAACAGCATCGTTCACGGTGGCTGAGGGCACGGGTGACATCCCTTCGGCTGCCCCTCTCGCCCTTTAGTCCTGCGGTACCTCGTGGGTGTAGGTGCGTAGGGGCACCCCGAAGGCTCGAGCCAGTCCAAAGTCAGCCAGCTTGATGGCACCCAACTCACTGATGAGCAGATTCTGGGGTTTCAGGTCTCGGTGGATGACCCGATGAGAGTGGCAGAAGTTCACCCCCTGCAGCAGCTGGAAGAGGTAGCTCTGGAATGGCGAATGTGAGAAGGAGCTGGCTGAGCGGAAGTGGGACCGGCTGACCCCAGCATCCGTGGCCTCCCCGTCCTTCTCTCCGCACCTTGACTAAATGCAGGGGGAGCTCGGAAGCTGGGGTAGAGTCCATGAACTTCTTCAGGTCCTGGCTGAGGAACTCGAACACCAGGTACAGCTTCTTCTCCTTGTGCATGACGTCGAGCAGCCTGGCCGGGTGAGGCCAGTCAGGATGTGGCTCCCAGGCGGACTGACCTCCCCGCCTCCTTCCCCACCTCACCTGACGATGTTGGGGTGCTTAAGCTCTTTGAGCAGGGAGATCTCCCTGATGGCAGTGCTTGGGACGCCCTCGGTCTCCCTGCAGGAGAGGAGAGTACAGCAGTGGAGGTAGGGAGCCAAGCAGGGCGCTTGTGGCCTGGGGGGGCGGGGGGTACTTGCGTTCCTTGCTCAGCGACGGGGCGCTGTGCTCCTGGGCACGTACCTACTCCCACCAGGGGCCTGGGGCAAAGCCCAGTCGGGGTGAGGACGAGTGAGGGCTGCACCTTTGTGGCCACCCGTGTAACTGGGCAGCATTCGGAAAGGGAGACGAATGTAAAACCCTGAGATGGGGGAGGGATGGGGGAGCTCCGGCCTGGGGGTCGCCTCTGGGCGGGGTGTTTCAGCGGCTGTCCCAGCACTCACTGATCCAGCCTGATCTTCTTAAGAGCCACGAGCTGCCCTGTCTCCTTGTTCTTGGCCTTATATACCACCCCATAGGTGCCCTCGCCAATCTTCTCCACCTTCTGGAACATGTCCATGTCCATGTCCGCAGAGCTGCCTGGAAAACAGACGGCACCTGGGGCGCTCGCCCCCAAGCCCAGGGCCTGTGCTGCGCCTCGCGGCCTCCATGGAACGCCTGGCTTCCCGGCTCTGAGGCGTTTGGCCCGCAGGGCTCGCCTGGCTCTGCCTGCCGGGACGCCCAGACTCAGGCACGGCTCCTGCCCCCCACCCCCGTCCCTGGGAAACTGGCCTGAAGAGGGGCGGCCCCTGGCCCAGCCCAGTCCAGGTGGGCACCCCCAGGCCGCCTGCCTGGTGCCCAGCCAGGAAGGGGACGGGCTACAGAGCGCAGGAGGGCCCCCACTTCTCATGCCGCAGTCCCCGCCTCTGCCGGGCCAGGCACGGGCTCTGGGGGATGAAGGCTGCCCAGAAGGGCTGCCTGGGGGGCTGGGGTCAGCTCAGGGCAGAGGTCAGGGTTCAGGAAGGGTTTCTGAAACCAAAGTCCTGCCCTAGGCCCCGGGGCCAGGGCGAGGGGTTAGGCCCGGCCTGTTTGGGACGCTCGGCTTCCTCTGAGGGCAGAACCTTGGTAGAATCAGCCCGCCCCGCACCCCCCACCCGTGTCCGGGGCTCCCCACCTGTACCAGGGGCCCACCAGCCCCTTCCCCTCAGGCCCAGTCCCAGAATTCACCAGGAACCCTGCGCTCCTGCAGCCTCACTGCCAGGCAGGCTGCCTGCCCCACGGCTCCCCCTGCTGGCCAGGGGTGGCGCTGCACCACGTGCACACAGCCATGTCTTGCCACTGGAGCCTTTATTCACCAGGACCCTCCGGAGATCACAACTCCACACGATGCACAGCCCCCCAGCACCCAGAGCTCAGCCTCCCACAGTCTCCTGGGGTCGGGGGAGACATCAGGCTTTGACACCTGCTCTCCAGGTTCTCATTTTTGGGACAATCCCAAATAAACAACCCATCCCCTCTTCTCTGCAGCTCCAGAAAAAGCTGTCACTCTGAGGAAGCCCCTGGGTCTTCTCGGCAGCAGCTCCAGCGTCCCCAGTGGGCTTCGCCACAGGAGCAGGCTGGGCGGGGTTCCCAGCTGCCACTTCCTACTGGTCACGTCTCCCTTCCCGCTGGTACATCCTCTGCTCTTGGATGGCTTGTTCCAACAAGGGAAGATTCACTCCTTCCACACACGTCAGCACCCGGGCCTTCACCACGGAACCTCCACCTAAAAGACACAGACACGAAGGCGCTAGCGGTGACGGATGCATTTCAGCTGTTTCCCCGCCACCTGGTTCTCAGTCCTGAGTTTTGAAGGCACAGGTAGGGGGGATGGCACACGGGCTGCTGGCAATTTTACTTGGGCCTCGGAACGGTGGGCCCGCCATGCGCTGTAGGCACATGTCTTGAACTTAGGGGTAGCCTGAAAATTCCACTTCTCCAGGGAGGAAGGGCCAGAGAGATGTACCCCCCCACACCCCCACCCCACACCCCCACCCACTTCCTTCCCTTGTCATCTTAATTCCTGCCACCTCCTCTATAGGTCCCAAGCGCCTGGGGTGGAGGCGGGGTCTCGGCCACCATCCTGTTCTCCATTTGTACCAGGAGAAGGGCCTGCTGGGCATCCTGGGACCCAGTGGCATTGGAAATCGGGGCAAAGAGAACCCCATATTTAATGACTCCAAGGGGAGAGTGTCCTTATAGGGGCAAGTCATCCCACCCTGGACGAGGGGCTAGCAGGGCTTCCAGAAGACGCTGTGGTGATCTGATGGAAAGGTGACATCAAACAGGAAAGACATCTGGGGTTCGTCCTAATGGTTTTTTCTCTTCTTTTTTAAAGTCTATGCCTAGCCTTCCTTCTAGTCTAGGCCGCTTTATTGACTTAACACAGCCTGGGGGCAGAGTTCAGAGTGCTGGGTTGTCTTGATTCCAGCCTTCAACACGGGAAGGTAAACTTGTCTGAAACATGAGGTCACCTGTGTGTCGTCAGCTTCTGTTGGCGCCAATGCTGGGCTATAGAGACTGTACGCCCCAGAGTGGAGTGGACATGTGACAGTATCTGGATCTATTGATCAGTGTACACTTGATTCGCATCCCTCAGGCCTCTTCAGGAATGGCTGGGCTAGCTATACTGATCAATCAGACAGGCTGTTTGCCTGAACTTCTGTTGGCACTGAGAGGCCTAGACCTTTTCTTGTGACACGTGTAACCCTAAGTAGTTTTCACAGTGTTCAGGACGACACAGGTGAGTGAGGACAACATCAGAAAGTCTCCTTCGCAATTAAACATCTCAACACAGGAGCTGAGGTGAGATGTTTCCTGCCTGCGAGATGTGGTTAGTTATTGGGCTTAATTTCACAGCACTTTCCCAGCACTAGTCCCTATCAGCTCTTTCCTGCCCTCGGCCTGAGGAGACCCTTCCTTCTAGATTTATATAGTGGATAACGCGTTGTTTCTCCCCGGGAATGAAAATTCATAGTTATTAAACATGGAAGTGAGCTTCAGAAAGACAAGTATCTCAAGGACCAAATTGGGCAAAAGGTCAATGGCATGAAAGGAACAGCGTTTGAAAAGGGCCGCAGGGAAGGGAGAAAGGAGTTTATGAACTAGACAGCTAGAGAAATCGTCCTTTAGAGCAATGTCTTCTCGCAGAGATCAACACCCTGGAGCAAGGAGGGACTGAGTTACAAGAGCAGTCGGACACTGTGGGTTGAGGACGGAGCAGGAGATGAGGGAGGGGTGACATGGAGAACAGACCCTTTTTTAGGAAATTTGACCGTGAAGGGGAGGAGGGTCACAGCTCAGTAGGGAAGATGGCCCCTCATCATCATCATTATTATGTTAATATGGAAGAGGCTCGAGTGCTTTATATGCTGAGAGGGAAGAACCAGTGGTAACAGGTTAAGGGTTCAGTCAGGAGAGCAAAGTGCCAGGGAAAGGCAGGCCATGAATACAGCGCAGAGGTCGCCCTCAGGCAGGAGGGCCCCTTCTCCCTCCCAGACTAGAGGGAAGGAGCTACGGATGGGAGTGGATGCCTGTAACTTGAGGAGGGACTGCTGCTGGGGCCTCAGTTTTACCTGAGATGTAAGGGGTGAGGTGATCTGCAGACAAGGACGGGGGTCTAGGTACCAGGTGAATGTCCACAATAGTCGTGGATCACGGAAAAAAGTGTGTTGACAGGGACATGACGGAGGGTTTCTAGGCCACATGGAGGGCCCCGTGAGTGAGGTAAGAGACCTTGCAATCATTGTGCTGGGAACCCGCTGAGCTTTGTGAATTTTCTCCCTCAACAGTCGGGTGGGACCCAACAGGGTTTAATCGGGCAGGAGTGACGGAAGGCAAGGGGTTCAAACTTCTGCCAGGAAAGTGACCGAAATGATAGCGAGGTCCAGCTGGAGGGGAGGACAGAGAGGACGGGAGGAAACAGAGGAGTCCAAAGTCTGAGGGTCCTGATGGGGCTGACGAGGGAGGCAGAAAGATTCGGAGGTACTGATGTTTCAGGTAGCAGAGGTGGGGGTGTTCTGGGAGTGGCCCCGGCCGTAGGAGGCAGAAGTGGGATGGACTGCGCGGTGGCAGAACTGGTTGGCCACGGATGAGAAGGGGAAAGGTGTGCAATGACAAACCCGAGGAGCCAGCAGGGTTCAGGCCCCACTTCTGTGGCGTGTGTGGCTTGGGCAGCTGACCAGGCCTCCAGGTGGGGTGGGGTGCGGGGGGGGACTGCTGTCTCAGGAAAAAGCCAGGTTTCAGGCAGGACCTTGAGGAGGTGAGAGCATAGAAAGGAGGCTTGAAGGTGGAAGAGCACAGGCCCCCGAGGACACACCGGGAGGGCCTGTGAAGGAGGAACAGAGGGCGGGTGGAAGAAAACAGAAGGGGTGGGATTTATGGGGTTTCTGGCGAGGGCGCCAAGGCAGCCTCATGTGGTAGGCAAGCGACCTGCAGCTTGGGAATTCTGTTAGGGACTCTGGAGCAGAGTGGGGAGATGCTACACCCCAACGCCTTCGTCCCTGAACAGGAAGCTCTCAGGCCCCTGGTTGGTGCCCGGAGAAGGTGACACAGCCGGCGAGTTTCGGCACACAGTTGGCATTTCTTCACCTTTTCTATCTCCTCAGCAAGCTCTTTCTGCAAACATTTCAGAAAGGTGACTTTAGGTGGCCTCTGGTCTGTCCTCAGAACTGCCAACCTTGTCCCAGGCTATGACTGGTTGACCTCTGTGTCCCCACAGGACTTTGGATTTGACTGGGGGCCAGACACGTAGAGAGGAAGGTTTGAAACCGGCCACACCATGTCCCCTCTGCCCAGGCTGGGGGTGAAGTGGCCACTTCTGTGCTCAGCCCAGGCTCTGCCCCTCTCTGCTCATTGTCATCTTTCTTTCCTTGTGTCAGCTGATGATGAGCAAATGATGAGCACGTATGACTTTTAGAAACTTGGGGAAATTTTTTTTTAAGAAAGAAAAAGAGAAATACAGCTTATGACATAAGCGGTAAACTAGCCACAGCCTAGGAAGAATGCTGCCTGATCTGAAGGTTGATGATGCAGGTTCAATTTTTCTGCTTCTTTTTTTGGCCAGAATACTTCAGAGTGGGGCTGTGTGCCTTCCTGGTGCGTCACCACCGAGGCCTGTGATTGATCACTCTGCCTTGGGTAATGGTTGCATCGATCGGGCAGCCATTTTTTCTCTCTCAATTTCTCTGTCTTCCTTTTTTTTCTTTCTCAGTTTATACTTTAACTTTTTTTCCCATTTATTTCTTCCTACAAATAATTCTAAATGTCTGCTCAGGTCCTGCCCTTGTCCTGGCCTGCTGTCCCCATCTTAGTTTCAACCCTTCCCTGTATTTGAGGGGAGGGGGAGGTGGTCAGTCGGTTCCCTGGAGTTCCCCAGACTTACTGCAAGGCCAGGAGTGCAGGAGAAAGCCTCAGGTGATTTGGGCCAAGTCAAAGTGAAAATCGTTCAGACAAAGGCCTTTGTACCCATGCCCAGCCCTCCTTCCGATACCTGTCTCAAGTCAATTATGAGGGCAGGAGCTCTGTGAATGCAAAGGCTTAAGCCTGAATAAAGATGAACTTCTATGAAATCAAATAGAATTAAAGTCAGCACCATTTCATCACCTTTTTTTTTTTCTAGCGCATTTCATCCAGAGTTAAAAATCACTGACTTTTAGAAAGTAAAAGTAAATCAAGAAACAAATGGAAGGAATGTTAACCCCGGGGAGGGACTCCTGTTGGGTCAGCAGCCGGGCCCAGTCCTAACCGAGGCACCCAAAAGGCTGCCCAACCCAGGACCCAGAAGGAAAAAGCGTGTGTGAGGCCCTGGCTTACCCTTCTGGTGCTCTAGGTCCCCCAGGACAACGTAGAGGGAGCCCACCTGGGCTTCGAATGGCTCCACCCACTTGGTAGAGATAATGATCTGGTGCTGGTCAGATCCGTGCTGAGCCGTCAGGGTGACCTGGGACTGGGTCATGTCGTAGAGGCACAACCTGGCAGTCCGAGAGAAAGGACGATCATTTCTATCCATGGACACCGCCACCACACAGCTTGAAAGCTTTGGGGAGGCCAGTAAATCCATGGGAAAATGGTCAGCCTTACTCTGATCAGACAAAATAAAAATGGCAGCAACAAATCAGAAATACTGTTTTCAGTCTATACATTGTTGAGGTATAAATTACATGCGTTAAAAGGTACCTGTTCATTGAGTGTTGACAAAAGTATACACTGGTGTAATCACCACCCCAATCAAGATTTAGAATATTTCTATCACCCCAAAAAGTTCCTTTGTGCCCCTTTGAAGTCAATCTCTCCATCTCCCACCCCAGGCAACCCCTGATCTGCTCTTGGTCTCTAGAAATGAGTTTTCCTACTCAAGCATCTCATATAAATGGAATTATCACAGCATGTATTTTTTTTTAATTATTATTGGGAAATGGTGTGTTTTTCCAGGACCCATCAGCTCCAAGTCAAGTAGTTGTTTCAATCTAGTTGTGGAGGGCACAATTCAGTGGCCCATGCAGGGATCGAACCAGCAACCTTGGTGTTATGAGCACTGCGCTCTAACCACCTGAGCTAACCGGCCACCCCATAGCATGTATTCTTTTGTGTCTAGTTTCTTTCACTGAGCATCTGGGATTTGCGTCCTTTTATATATCCCCTAGAACCCTGATTAGCAGTGAACCATGTAGCCAACAGGATACTGCAGAAATGACTGACAGGGTTAGGTCCTAAAAGGCGCTGTGGCTTCCTCATTGCTCTATGTGTTGGATCACTCATTCTGGGGAAAGCTGCCATGTTATGAAGACCGACAGGCAGCCCTATGGAGAAATCTAAATTATGACAAACTGAGTCTTCTTGACAAACGCCAGCACTAGCTCACCTAACATGTGAATGAGTCACCCTAGAAGCAGGTCCTCCAGGTCCAGTCCAGCCTTCAGATGTTGGCAGCCCTGGCCAATATCTTAACTGCGATCTTATAAGTTAACCAGCCAGAACCACCCAGCTAATCCACTCCCAAGTTCCTGACCCATAGTAACTATGAAATAATAAGCTTTTGTTGTCATTTTAAGCCACTAAATTTTGGGGTAATTTGTTACACAACAATATATGACTAACATGGTGTGTGTGCATGTGTGTGTGTGTGTATGCTCACCCACTCACATATACATATATACATATATACACATATGAAAAGTATGTAAAATGATCACCAAAGGGTTAGCAGTGGTTATTCGGACAGTGGGATTACAGGTGATTTTGCTCGCTTTCTTTACACTTTTATGGATTGTCGACATTTTTCACAATGAATGTATATTAATTTTTTAGCATTTTAAAAATAATTAGATGAAATTATAATAAAACTATTTTAATTGTTTTTGGGGGGTAGCCACTTAAACATAACCCCCACCTTGAAAAAAAACAATCCTTCTCACCTGCCAAAAGTTCTCAGCGCGTCCCCGTCAGGAACTTGGCCAGTACTGACCTCCCAGGGGAAGTAATAGATCCCAGGTTTGGGCAGCATGGTTGACTCCTGTCACCAAATAGTTCAGATGGATTTTTGAAAAGTCCTAATAAACCAAGCAGACCACAAGATGGAGATTAGCAGATGATACCTGAGACTCAGTGGGTGGGGGATTAAAATTTAAACAAAAATTTTTTGATAGGTTATGCATTCACATATTTTGAAAAACGAACATACAAAAGCTCTATGTGGAGAAATATTGTTCCTACTCCAGTTCCTAGGCAACGCCCTCCTTAGCCCTCTGAAGTCGGGGGGGGGGGTCATAAAAGGGCAGATGGTGATACGTGGTCTGTCACAACTACTCAACTCTGCCACTAGCGTAGGAAAACACAGACACTACAAACGATACAAACGAGCGTGGCTTGTTCCTCAAACTTGATTTCCCTCCACACTAAGAAACGTGCACTTATTTCCCCTCTATACTATGTATACGTGCTGTTCTGCATCTCAAGTTTTTTTTTCACTACTGTATTTTGATACTTGTTCATACTTGTACATAAAGGGAGTCTTCCTGTTTTTTTTAAATCAACTTGTTATTTTAGAATAGTTTTAGATTTATTTAAAAAAAAACTTGTAAAGATGCTAAGAGAATTCCTACATTCATCACACCCAGCTGTCCCTATAATTAACTTCCTACATTGGGGTGACACATTTGTCACGATTAATGAACCCATACAGATATGTTGTTACTAACTCGACTCCAATCTTTATTAATGGATTTCCTTAGTTTTTCCCTAATGTCCTTTTCTGTTACAGAGTCCCTTCCAGGATACTACATTACATTTAGTTGTCACATCTCCTTAGACTCCTCTGGGCTGTGACAGCGTCTCAGACTTTCCTTGTTTTTTGATGACCTTGAGAGTTTTGAGGTATGTTGGTCAGGTTATTTTGTAGAATGTCCTTCAATTTGGGTTTGTCTGATGTTTTTCTCATGGTTAGACTGCGGTTATGGGTTTTTGTTATAATTTTTAAAAAGAGAAAGCGAAGGCTGGTTAAATAAGTTATGTAATAACAATCAAATGGAACACTCAGCAGGCTTTTTAAGAAGATGGGGCATTATATATACTCATATGGCAGGATCTCCAAGATGTACTATCAGGAAACAAAGCAAGGAGCAGACGTGTACATATAATATGCACATTTGTGTGTGTGAGAGAGAAAGAGCAACTCCATAACACGAGAAGCTCTGTGTAGAATATGCTAGTCAAGTGGGGATTCAGCAATAATTATTCAATGACAAAGGGATCCTGACGGTGAGAGCCTTCAACTATTCCTCATAGGCCAAGGAAGTGGAGACATGCACAAAGAAAATGGTAATTAAATAACCCCAACGAAGATCCTTGCAGAAATTAGATGACACAGCTTTAATCCAGAAGTTCAATGTAACTTAGAATCTTGCACAATTGGTTTCAGTGTCCTCTGCGGGGAGGTCACTGGCAGTGCTGTCAGTCCATGTTCCATGGTCATTTCAAGACAGTGTGCCCAGAACGGGTTTGACGGGTGCAGCCCAGGAGCAACCGGCCAAGTTCATGTCTTTCCCCCTAAATGAAGCTGTTCAGCATTCTGGGACCAGGGAGCAGAGCCGTTTCAGTCACCAGAAATGAGACAACCCCCTAATCATCTTTGGCATGACAGAGAAGCAAAGAAACCCAAACAACAACAAAAACAAAAATGCCAAGAAATTGTACTGCTTCCTATTTGGGATAACAATCCCATCCAATCTAGCAAAAAACTGAAACTTCAGAATCTTTTCTAAGGTAATTTTTCTACTCTTACGCACGTATATATTATAAGCTAGGCTATAAGTAACTACGTCATTAAATTTATTTATTTTTAACGTTACCATACAGTAGAATCGACTCTTTGGGAGGTCATACACTTTCATAGCCTTTAACTTCATTAATTATTTTTTTTCAAACAAAAGTTGCTATGTGTTTCTTAAGACACTTCTGCTGAATAAAAACAGCTGGCTCAATAAATCATTATCCACATATTATCATACATTCAATAAAGTTTCTGAGTAGATATATCAGGACAGGCTTGTCTTGTGGCTCAACTGGATTTCAAATAATCTCCTTAGACGTCTGAGTAATGCTGCAACCTGTAATTCACGGCTTTGCCCTTTTCATTCTCCAAGGCACTTCTGGGAGAAAAAAAAAATCCATGGTATGAACAAGAGAGTTATTCTTCTTTTTACCGACTGGGAAGTTTGAAACTACTGTACAGGAAGCCTGGTGAACCAATCTGACTGCTGCTTCCATTTTTTTCTGAAGCAATGCCCAAGATTTCTGTCGTGGGATTGAAGGTCATAGAAGTAACCAAGCTCCTTACAGCTTTATCAGCTCTGGGATTGTTTTTCTGAAGACAAGAATCTTGACTGTATATGTTTACCACTCCCCAATTGGACTAGATTATAAAAGGATGTAACTCAGGAACAGCTGGATGGAAGAGCAGAGGGCGAGGTCTGTGGGAAGGGGCGGGGAGCTTCCACGCTCTCTGAGGGCACCACTCTCCTCGCACCTCCGCACGTTCACCGACCCAGAAGCAACTCATTAATGTTTTAAAAGTTACAATTCTTTGTTGGCCTATATTGCACAATGACTCTTCAACATGAAAACTCGAGTTACGCCATGTGGTTTGAACTATGGCCTCCAATGGTTTTATCATGTGGGGATTATGACAAATTTTAAATGGAATCTCAACTAAATGAATTCCACAGTAACCAAGTCAAAGGATTATTTTACTATGTCTTTAAAAGTTTTGCAATCACCAGAGGAAAATATATTCAGAGAAGAAGCATCGATGGATGTTAAAAGTACTGGGTACAAAAAAAAAAGTACCGGGTACGTTTGATGAGAAACAGGATATTCAGGTATCTCCCCACAGATTACCTATTAATTACAAAGAGAAAAATGGGCCACTTGACAGAAACTTAGCAAATACAACCTTCATGTTCCTCCTGGATACGATGCCCTGAGACGGACACGTTGGTTTTTGGTATTCCTGCAAAAAATGCACAATCTGATTCTAGTCATGAAGAAACAGCAGACAAATCTGAATTGAGGGACATTCTACACAATAACTGGCTTACACACTTCCAAAGTGTCAAAGTCACAGAAGAAGACAAAGAAGCTGCTCCAGTTAAAAGAGACTAAAATGATATGACAACTCTTAAGGGTTGAGTTGTCCCCCCAAAAAAGACATGTTGGGAGCCCCAGCCCCCCATACCTCACAATGTGACCTTAGGGGCGGCTGGTTAGCTCAGTGGGTTAGAGTGCAGTGCTTCTAACACCAAGGTTGCTGGTTTGATCCCCACATGGGCCACTGAGATGCACCCTCCACAACTAGATTGAAACAGCTACTTGTCCTGGAGCTGATGGGTCCTGGAAAAACACACTGTTCCCCAATTAAAAAAAAAATGTGACCTTATCTGGAGAGAGGGTCTTTAGAGAGTAACCAAATTAAAATCGGGTCACTAGGGAGGGCCCTACACCAAGACTAGTGTCCTTGTGAAAAGGGGAAAGTTTGGATACAGAGACAGACATGCACACAAGAAGGTCAGAGACTGGGGTGATGTGTGAAGGAGCCAAGGAACGCCCAGGATTGCCAGCAAACTATCAGCAGCTAAAGAGAGGCCTCGGGCAGATTCGCCCTCAGCCTCAGAAGGAACCCACCCTGTCCACATCTTAATGCTGGACTTCGCCTCCAGAACTGTGAGACAATACATTTCTGTTGTGTAAGCTGCCCAGTCTGTGGTACTTTGTTATAGCAGCCTGAGCAAATAACACAACTAAATGTAATTCTTCCTGGGTTCAATCTTGGTTGGGAGATAAAACTGTTAAATAAATGACACTATTGGACCATTGTAAATCAATGAAAGGTGTGCAGATAACAGTATTGTATCGATGTTAAGTTTCCTTAATTTGATAATTGCTGTTCTCCTGTTCTCTTTGTCCACTTAGGTGGGTTCTTGGGAGACAGAAGAAATAGGTACAGGTGGACAATGTTTTAATCAGAACCCCCACTGCCTTAAAGCCACCTCTCGCCATCCCTGACTGCGCCAGTCTCCCATCTGCTCAAGCCTGGGAGTCACTCTTGATGTCTCCCTTTCTCTCATAGCCTCATCCAATCCACCACCAATTTCTGTCATTTCTACCTCAAAATACATATTGAATTTATGCGCTTCACTCCATCTCCATGGTTACCACCTTGGTCCAAGCCTACACCGGCTTTATAACTAGTCTCGTTGTTTCCACTCTTGTCCTTCCATAGTCCATTCTCTTCATAACAACCAAGTGCTGTTTTAAAATAGAAAATATGCCACAGGGAGTATTTTTTGCCAAAACCTCAAGTCTGAATCTAATAAAGCCTCTAGATCTAACAGCTTACAGAAAATACAGAGACAGAGGAACATGTTAAAGACATCACAGAGATGGCAAAATCCAGACTGGGAAATTCTCATGAAAAATGAACTAGGTTTTTCAACAAGTTCAGGAAAAAAAACATATAGGGATAACCGTATACATTAAAAGAAGCTTAAGATTCATATTAACCAACTGCAATGTGTGAACTTTGTGGAGATGCTGATTTGAACAAACCAACTGTAGACAATGTTTTTTATGAAACAGGGAAATCTGGATATTGATTGGATCTGTGATGACAATAAGGAATTTTTGTTAAGTGTGATAATACTATTGTGATTATGCTAAAAGTAAAGAGACGTAGTGAAACTTTTTTTGGATGATATGAAATTTGCTTCAAATTTATGTGGTGGGGGAGAAGGTGGGGAGTGGGGATTATGTGGGGTTCGTTATATTATTCTTTGTACAGGTTTGAAATTTTCCATAGTAAAAGGTTTTAAAATGTATACGGATCACACAGCCTCATTCAAAACCTATTAAAGGATTCCCATCATACCTATTAAACTCAGTCTGCACGCTGGCCCATAATGCCACATGCTGTCTGTACCTGGCCCACCTTTCTGCCACTGTTTGCCATCACCCTTCTCCTAGTTCACCCTCCCCTCGGGACCTGCACACTTGGCACTTGGTTTTCCTTAGACTGGAACAGTCTTCCCCAGACCTTCGCATGGCCGGTTCTCTCTCTTCGCTCAGGTCCTACTTCCTAGTTCACCTACCCCCCTCCTCAGCGAGACCTTCCTGACCACCCCACCTAAAATAGCATTCTCCACCACTCCCAGTCACTCTGTCCCCTCACCTTGATTTATTTCATTCATTGCAGTTTACTAAATAATAGAAGTTACTACACAATAGTGACTTGTTTACCAGGTTAATGTCTATGCCTCCCACTAGATCACCAGCTCCATGAAGGCAGGACTCTGCATTATTCCTCAGTGTATTCTCTGTGCTTAATACAGCACCTGGGACATTAGTAAACGTTTATTGAGTGGATGAATGTATTCATGAGGAAGAGAGTGAAAACCATAACCATGTACTCCCACAGTCAGCCTGGACACAAAGAACCCAAACCACACCTTACTGCCTACATTAATGTGACTTGGTGGTCCCATGCCTTCGCCGGCACTTTTTTACTCTTCTTAGTCCATAGGTCGGCAAACTTTTGAGATGGAACATAACAAAAGAGCTGCATGTGGCTCGGGAGCCGCAGTCTGTCGACTCCTGTCCTAGACTGTCCAGCCCAGGCAAATGGTTTGAACATCAACAGCCATTTTGCCCACTGAGATTCTCTGAATTCCCTCACCTTATTTTTTCCACCAATTTTGGACTGCTGTACAGTGGTTCTTACCCAATCCTGAGCAAGACCCTGAACTGAAAGACCCGCCTTAAACCAAACTACCTATTCTCAAAAAATTCTGGCCTTACCTCTGCGACACTGGAGTGTTCTCCCTTACATGACTAAGCAATAAACTCGGCTGTGTTGTATATATAAGCTGTGTTAGAGCCAGCTTTTGGGATACAATCCAAACACAGCGGCCAAACTAATGTTAATGCCCGGGGCATTAAAAACAGCATCAGTTAACAGTGCCTTGCTAGGAGCTCGAGACAAAAGGAACAATCAGTAATAACGATCTTGTCCTTACTTAAAAATTTGTTATTTTGTTTACTGTGGATTTTCTTGCATTAATTTTCATTTAAATGTTGCGTTAAAACACTATTAATCTTGATTTTTTTAGTGCTCCCTTAAATTTTGTGTCGGAGGGGGATTGCCTCCCTCCTCCTACCCTATTCCCAATACTAAAAACTGATGCAGTAAGAACAGTGTTAAATGTACAGTCTAAAAAACAACCGGGCTTGAGTATGTTATTTAAAGTTACAAAGGTAAAAGTAGGGAGGTATAAAGGCAATGGTGTAGAGAGCTTTATCTTTATTACCGTGGTATGAAGTCACAAGTAAAACGAACAAATCGAGAAACAGCATTTAAGGATTTTACTTATCAATTTTTTAGGAATCAGAACTAAAACACAATTTAATTAAAAGTAGCTGCTTCTGAAAATGGGGAACTTTTGTTTTTCATTACAAATCCTTCTATACTAGGTTTTGTTTTGTTTTGTTTAATTTTTATTTTTTTTTATTTTTTTAAGCTGAACCATTCTGCCACCTGTTGGTAGCTCAGCGGCTGCTCAGCTCGGGCCGGGCTATACCAGGTTTTTTTTAAAGTGTGCACGTACAACTTTGATGACGATGGTAATTGTGAAAAGAGTGAAGTGTGGATTTCAAGATCTCTAAGCACAGGGCTAGCTAGCTCAGTCGCATTCTAAGTCTGCGTCCATCCCATCAACAGGAGGTTGTGCCCGCAATCCCACAGCCAGAGCGCCGCCGCCCACGCCTCTGGCAGCAAAGATGCCATTAACTTAACAAAAGATAACTGGAGCCTCTCCACAGTGCTCCTTTTGTCCCCGTCGTTTTCTGATCCAATTCGGGAGGGTTTTGGAAAACCCTACAACCTCCCCTAGCAACTCCGCAAAGCCGATAGGTTCACCCCCGGGACCTTCACTCTCCATCCCCTCTCTTTACCCAGGAGGCCTAGGCGCCGGGACCCGGAAGCGGCGGGGGTCGGCCAGCCCCAAGGCGCAGGCGCAGTCCTCCTCCGCCTCATTTTCCCGCCCCTTCCCAATCCCCACGCCAACCTGTGTCGGTGTCTCGGCGGACTCGGGTTCTCTCTTTCCGCCCCGCCCAATCACGTGACGACGGAGGGGCAGGTTACCGAGCGCGCCTCGCCTTTCCCCGGGGCAATTTCTTGACTTTCTTCCGGGGTCTCCTCCCCCGCGGCTCTCCTGGCCGAGAGCTGGCGCTCGCCCGCCCAGTGGCCCACGCCGGCGCCGCCTCTTCCTTGGCTGCGGTCGGTCTCGTGCCGCTGGGCGGCGGGGAAGGGGAAGGGGAAGGGGCGGGCCGGGGGCGGGGACTCGCGCTGCCCTGGGGCGGCTCTCAGCGCCCGGCGGGACTAGAGCTGCGGACTCCGTCGTCACTGACCTCTCGGCCTCCGCTGCCTCCGATGGCCGTCACCATGAACCAGGACCTGCGCAGGGAGCGGGCCGCCGCCAGCTTCAACCCGGATCAGCTCACGTACATCCTGGACGGCAGCCCGGAGAACACCCGGCGCCGCCGAGAGATCGGTGAGGGCGGCGGTGCAGGCCTCCCTCTTTCCCCGAGCAAGGCTTGAGGCTCCCTCGATAAGGAGTCTGGGGGCGCTGCTGTGGGACGTAGGCCCTAGGCTGTGGCCCAGCTTTAGGGGAGCCGGGACCCCCACGTCCGGGGGGTGGCTTGTGGTGGGGCGGGAGGATCCTGATCCCGAGAGGGGACTTGCGCCCGTGACACCGAAACCAGCTGTGCTTTCGGGAAGTGTATCGGAGCCCAGAATGTCTGTCTTCCTCCTGATGCCCTTTAATCCCTTCCAGAGAACCTGATTCTGAACGACCCAGACTTCCAGCATGAGGATTTGAACTTCCTCACTCGCAGCCAGCGTTACGAGGTGGCTGTGAGGAAAAGTGCCACCATGGTGAAGAAGATGAGGGACTTTGGCATCTCAGACCCCGATGAAATCATGTGGTTTAAAAAGTAGGTATCTATGATAAAAGCCCAAACTAAATCCCCGGGCCGTGTTGTCTTTTCTTCATCGTGCTTGGCGTTTGAAGACTCAAAGTGGCGTATTTTTCACGCCACTCTAAGAGTTAACATGTGTGGAAAATAATGTGTACTTTTGTATTTAAGCCTTTTAAAGGGGTGACATTGGTAGAATGCTGATAATGAATCGGAGATGCTGCAATTTTCATTCTCAGTCGTACAAATTCTTCTGAGCCAGGCAGCTCGCTTTCGAGTGATTTATGTTCAAAATGCTTTTGCTCTTTGTAAGCAGGACCGCTGACTTGAGAAGCTGAATTCGGAAGGATTTTTCAGCTGCAAGACCAAACATTTAAATATTTTGGAGCATTCACAGATTATATTTTTACACGACGGTGTACATCTTGAGTTTTAAATAGTGGAAAACATGGGCTGGGTGAGGAAGAACATGAGTCAGAAAGAATATAAAGTATTCTAAGAACCCAGCATTGTCTGGTGTCAGTGTTTAAATGGCCCCCAGGCGCATAGGAGACCTCACAAAAACACCCCGTGGTCCTAGTTCTGAAAAGAGGAGGCTCTTCTTTCAGACCATCCATTTTTGTATTGTGTTTTGTTTTTTAATTATTAAAAAAATGCAAACTTTTTTGGCCTTTATCTGAATAAACTCTACAATCTGGCCTGTAGACCCTCTTACACTTCTCATTTATTCTTGGGCATTTCCTCTTTTAGTTTTCTACATTCTAGAACTCTAGTATTTTTATCAATAAAGATTAAATGATATGAAGGTGTATATTCAAGAGCCAACAAAAAATGAAACGTGTTACAAGTTCCGCCTTTATGTAGTCATGGTCATTCCTCCTTTATTCTACTGCCTCTAGTACATTTGGTATCTAATTATTTTCAGTTTGACCTGGTTATTATTGTCAAGATGAAATCATTTACTATGGCCCTTAGGACTACCCTCAGAACTCCTTTCCATTTTAGTTATAAAAATATATTGAATTTATTTTTGGTAGCCCAAATCAGAGTACTTACTTTCAAATGCTATTTTTTTATTTTTAAAGTTTGTGACTCATGGCTGTGGGGCTATTAAGGTAAAGCAATTAGAAGATTATGTTTCTTAATTACCTGAGTTGGGTTTGTAAATCTTAAAATATTAGTAAGATTTTATTCTTCCCTAAAACAACACCTAAGAACAGGTTTGTTTATTTTTGCTTTTAAATGGTCCATGTGGTTAAGAGGTGGTTAGAAGATTTCCTAATCTGGTTCATAAGATTTCATAACGAGACTCAAGTGAAGTCACAATGAAATGGAACAAAGTCCTTTATGTGGGTTAAAGATCAAGTGGACACCAGCCAGCTATTTTGTGTAAGGCTTTTCATGATACAGACCTTGCTGTTTGAGGACTGTAAGTCAAACTTTAACACGCCTTTTGGCATCCTTCCAATATCCCTGGATATGATGAGATCAGCTTATGTTAGAGAACGGGATTGAAAGTTAATCTTGGCAATTACTTGAATTACTGTAACTCACACCCATGTTTTATGTAAGAAAGTTAATTATGACATAGCATTAATGATGAGATGCATCGGATTTCTTAAATACTAAAATTGGGAGGGGTGGATGTGGTAGAATTGATGAAAAACAGTAATATTTCTCTTTGGGCAATTACTGGTCTCTTACATCCATTTCTCCTATCAAAATACAACTCATTTATATGAGAATATTTTGAAGTTGACTGAATGTTAGTAAAATATTTCAAGATTTCTCAACTTGAGCAATAAAAGATCTTTTCTCTTCAGTCCTTGAGAAAATAAGACCTTGCTGTTAGGGGAATATAAAAGTTGTTTTACTGATCTCCTTTCTTATTTTGTCTTTTAACTATACTGTTTGCTGTGGAAAAACCTGTTAATGTTCTTAAGGGTAATTTAAAATTCTAATGAGAATCAGTCATGGTTTTTGTTATCCTTCTTAGGTTTTTAAAGTTGATTCCTTGAGAAGCATCTTCAAGAGGGATTAAGCATCGCTTAAAAACAAGCACTCAGATTTTGTTCCTGGGTTGATTTTCAAGTGGCCTCAAAAAAAAAAATCTCAATATGTTTACTGAGAACATAAATATTTGACAGTCTTTATTGTGTGTCACATATTTTTCCCTCTCAGTTTCCTAGAATTATTTTGCATCAGTGTCATTTTCTACACCCAGACCCTCCTCAGTTCCCCTTCATGGAATAGGAGTACCTTATATTGCCACCATTTTTTCGCACCTAAATTACTGCTTGTATTCCTCAGAAATTCTTGTAGGTTCGTTTCCTCTTTCGGTAAGACATGATTGTCAGGGAAGCCTGTGGTGCTCTTGCCTTTGAGAGAATGATTCTACGCTGTCGACTCATTAGGCTGTGGCGCTCACTTCAGTGAGGCGCCTGTGTCTTAGGAAGTGCATTACTTCTCTCCAGTACTGCAGGAGTGAACTGCTGCTAATCTGAGTTACTGGGAAACCAGCTCACCTCTTCTGTTCCTCCTATTCCTTTCTCCTTTCCCTCCATTCAGTTTAATTAACATCCAATATTGGAGTTAAAAAAAATCATAGAACCTCGGGGCTAAAAAGCATTTTTGATATTGGCTAGTGTAGGCATTCCTTGGATGTTTGCACCTGTCCCAACGCCTCTGAAAGGTGACCTTCCCTGCTAAAGGTGGTGGAGTGATCTCAGGGCCTCCACAACAGTGAACTGGCAGCCTACCCCCTCTTTTTGTTAATTCACACTCTGCTTGTGCAGACCAGGATAAATTGATGACATTACTTCCTGTTCATCCATTGAGAAGTCATGAAGATGAATTAGAGGAAATGTGTTTTGTGGTTTGTAGGTAGGTAGGTAGGTGATTAATAGATGATAGATACTTGTAGATAGATAGGTAAACCCCTATAAAATCTATGACTGCATAGCCAAGGCTGACTGTATAAAACTTATCTTTCGACTATTTCACAGATTCTGTTTTATGAGAAAATAGTTGAAGACTGAATTTCATTATGATTAGAGTGCCCCAATCTCGAGTAATTCTCAGAGACCTTTGGTGCTAGATGTTTAACATCCTCACATTACCTATTTACCCACCTGTAAACTCTGAAGACCTTAGAGACCTGTGCTTTGGTGCTGGAATTTATATTTACAACCCTGGATGTTTGCTATGGTTAACTAAGGAAAGATAGTTTAAATTCTTTAGGAGCTTTTGTTAACAGCTCTACAAGTAAGTGTTCTGTGGAGTTTGTTTGATTTTAATCAAAGAAAGCAAAAACAAACCCAAACTCCAAAAAATCTAATCAGTCCAACAAAAACCAAAACAAAAGGTGTTTTTTAGGCTAAAACATGGGTAGAATTGGCTTCCTGGGTTAAGTATAGAATTAAAGAGGAATTCTGGCCCCAAAATGATGAGAGGCAGAAAAGATACCACTAGATTCTGCTCTTCGCTTTTTATGTAGTAAAATGTTAAATTTCACAAGAAAGGGTTTAAAATTTTCCTAACCTTCATCCTGAGGAGTACGGCTGTCTGGCCAGAATGGGTGGTAGGATGCAGTTTCTAGAGTAAGCCTGAGACGCTTTTCTTTTCTCTCCTGTAGACTACATATGATCAATTTTGTGGAACCTGTGGGCCTCAATTACTCCATGTTTATTCCTACCTTGCTGAATCAGGGCACCACTGCTCAGCAAGAGAAATGGCTGTTTTCATCCAAAGGACTCGAGATAATTGGCACCTACGCCCAGACGGAGCTGGGCCACGGTTAGTCCACATTTGAGGGTCAGTGGGTAGCCCGCCTCAGGACTTCGGTTAACAGATGACTCCTGGCATTTGATTTTTTTCTGCTGCTCCACATTTGCGATTTTATTTTTAAAATGTCCTTCATTGTTATTTCTTAGAGCCTTTTACCATTGCCACACATCCCATTTTAACGGATGTTGAGCAGTTTGTGGGGTTGAAAACGTGGCAAAGCATCCTACTGCATAGGTGTGTGTTAAAGTCTTTGTTGGAAATTGTTGAGAGGGGCAGTGCCTCTGCAGCATCTAGATGATTCCACTCTGCTTTGATGAAGTGAAAAATGCAGATTTTAATGGGGCGGTGGATTAGAGCAGTTAAATGTCTTACTCTTAGATTGCCCACTTGCAGGGTTATAAGGCGGTTCGAAAATAGTCCACGATTCTCTTCGTTTCTTTTGATACATCTTTTCTATACATGTCCATGGACTTTTTGTATTACTAGTAATTCTTGGTTAAATTGTACCTAAAAGCCTGGCTACTTTAAAAAAGTTATGTGTTTTGTCTCAATGTGAAATACAGTAATACGTTGGTTTGCGAGCATAATTCGTTCTGGAAACAAACTACTCGTATTGCAAGACATCGCTTGTTTACCAAGTTAAATGTGTTTGAAATGTTTGCTCATCTTGCAGAACACTCGCAAACCAATTTACAATCCAAGGTTTTACTCTACGTTTGTTTTCATGGACAAGGCCATTGGCAGGTTTAAGTGGCTTGAATTTGAGCTGCCCACTCTTGTTCTTCATTATGCTGCTTCCGTTAGGTAAATAAAAAAAAAAGAAAGGGAAAGAGGAAAGGATGCAGATATCAGGAAAGCTTCATTTCTGTGTTTGATTTGGTGCATTTTGATTTGTGAATTGGTTTAAGAAAATGCTTTTTATCAGAATCCTCATGGGGCCTGCAGATTCTGATTGTTATGTGGTGTCATGAGCTCCTGGTCAAACACCCAAGGCTTTAGCTTCAAGAGGGCCACTCCTGAAATAACTAGCCCGAAGAAAGGTGTCCCAGGGAATGAAGAGAACATTCATACAGTCCTTCTGTCGGGGGTGGGGGGGAGGGGTAATCATAGCTTTGTGGTACAGAACCTTTTTTTCTTTCGGTTATTTATCACTGTAGAATTTATTTGACTTAAGAGTTATGCTATTCTTCTGAGTCTAAATGGGCCTGATATGGTTGTCTTTCATTGATCTAATCCCTCTGCCTCTGTTTATAAAATACATTCTAAATATATACTTGCCGTAAATTTTGAAGGAAGAGAGGAAGAAATGAAGTCTTGAACTTGACTGGTTTGAGAGGTCCAGAAATTGGACTAAGGTCCTATGTCGCTTTGGGTGAGTTTGCCTTTGTTAAGAGTTTTCTTTCCCTTATTGCTTCTAGTTTTCTGATATCTTCTTGTATTCGGACCAACTTGGTCTTAATCTCTATAGTTTACTTGAGATAGGTCTTGTTTCTTGCTGGAATTTTGTTAGTTCATGTTGCTGTTAGCTGTGTTTCATTGACTGCTGTTCTTTTCCAGGGAAGCCAGTCTGTTAGTTAATTTGAGTCATGTGACAGTGTAACCTTACATAGGACATAAAATGCCTTTCAACATCAGAGAGGTGGGCGGTAGAACAACTTGTACAAAAATGAAGATTTGACTATTTAAATCCTGAGACTTTGGACTATTGGTCAACAGTGACTATCTGAAGTGTGCTCACAGAATTGGCTGTAACTTTGCGTTTGGGGTTCTTCCACCTCTGTGTAGCCACTGAGAAGTGAAAAGACTCAGTATTGTTCTGCTCCGGCTCATTCCAGGATCCTCAAGAATCTTAAAATTCAACCAGGAAGTCTCGTTCTCCAGTTTTCCCTCTCCTAGAATGTGTCTTCCCTCCTCTAAATACTCCCCTGCGTGTATAGGCGCACAGATCCTGACACACTGTGGTCTGTGGCTCAGTGAGTCTTAAAGGCAGAGGTCTGGGCTGAGGAGGGCACCCTGTCCCTGGGGTTCTGGTGTGGAAGAGACCGTCTAGAATGTGGTCTAGCGTTCGTCACCCTGACCAGACATTTCTCCAGCTCACAAAGCAGGTAGTATATATGGTCTTCTCAGATATTGGACCATTTCAAGTTCTGGTCCCTTCCTAGGGATTCTTCTTGGGTGTCATTTTCTATTGTTATTAATATTAAGGAAACTAGAGCTTACATAATACATAGTTATCATCCTTGAAGATGGTGTAGTATCTTTGCAAATTCCCATCACTATTTCAAATATGAAATAGAGCACCTTTCTTCCTTTGAAACTTGAAAAATCGATAGTAAGCTTGATTGTGTATACCACTATCTTTCCCCCCCTTGTTTTCACTGCTTAGTCTCCTGTCCTTTGTTCTGAGTGAGTCTCTTCATTGTTGGGCTTCCCATGAGACTTGCTCCCTAGGTATTTGGCCTATTCTAATTTCCTCACTGTTACAATAACAATATTAACTTCTTTACAACAACTCATATGTTCTTCGGGGTTATGTCTTTGGAATATCTTTATCAGAAATGAATTACTGTATTGAAGGAAATGAACATTTTCTAGGTTTTATTGCATAGTTCAAGACTTTTTCTGAAGCATAGAACCAGTTTATAATATTTTTAGCGACTTACCAATATACATGTATCTCTGTAGCCCCACCAATATGGGTACTTTAATTTTGTTTTGTTACATTAATATATATCTAAGAGTTCAAGTTTTAATTTTCCAAGGCTTGTGAGCCTAGGTGTTACTACGTTTTGGCCTACTGTCTACATTTCCCATGTATAAACTGAGTTTTTCTCCTTTGAGATTGATTAAATGGAATATGCATCTTGATCTTATGTGATTTTATTGTATCCTTCCAATACTTTTTCTATTGCCTTCTGTTTTATTAAACGTTTTGGCCTTATGTATTCAGTGAATCTGTCTCTGAGTAGGTATACGTTTTCTTCTATTTCCTTCCAGTTTTTCTGTTTGATTTATATTTAATGCTTTGACTTGGGTATGATATAGACTGACGAATGACTCCCGTACTGTTTTTATGTTTATAACTATTAGCTCTTTGCCATTGTTAAGTTCTTTCTGGTTCATCTTAAGAGTTTTATAACAGTTTGTGTTTATTTCTAGAACCTTAAATATATTACATTGATTTGTTTCTTTGTTTTTCTCCTAACATCATAAACTTTGGTTCATTGTTGCTTTGTAAGATATTTTAAAATCCCATAGGATAAGCCTACTGTTGTTACATTTCAAGATTACATATATGTATTGGGTGTTCTTGCATACTTATTCTTCTAGACGAATTCTGATCTCAATTTGTCAAGTTCTCAAATGTATTCTATAGGAATTTAAGATCTGTGTTACATTAAATCCTTGTATTTTCTTGGGAAATAGTAACTTTATTTAGTCCTTTCAGCCAAGAATTAGCATTAGCAATTTATTTCCTGTTATTCAGATCTTTTATTCATCCTATTAAGTATTTATATTTTTCTCCTAATTAAATCTTCACTATTCTGAGCTAAGTTACTTAAATTGTAAATATTTTGTTGCTTTCATAAATCTCTTTAGTGAGTTTCTACTGGAATGGTCCTAATGGATAAGAATGCGGTGATTTTTTTTTTTCTTCCTTGTAGCCTACAGCTTTTCTAAAATCATTTATTATTGATGGCATTTTGTTGATTTCCTAAGATAATCTTAATACTGTTCACAGAGATGCTATTTTGATTTCTCCCTTTCTCATGTATCATTAATCGAATCATTTTGTCCTCAGTCTTGACCGCCAGCCTTTCAGCCCTGTATCATCACGTAGCAGAAACTGGGAAGGCCTTTTGGTGTTATGATTTTAAAAGAATTAACTCTAGTGTTTCACATAAAGTGTTGGTACTTTGTCATTTTAAAACAAATTATTTAAAAATAATATATAATTTTTATCATGTATAACTAACTTTTTGCAACAAATACACTTGATTTAAGTAAAAAAATTATCTAGGTCACTTTCTCCTCATAACATTTCTAAATTCCTCCCACTTCTGAATAATCTTAGTCACAAGAGACATTTTTCTCCTGAAAACATTCTTCAGTCTCAAAACCGTTTCTGATCATAGTAGTTTTACGCCTGCCCTAAGTGTATTTTGTGGTAACCTTTGGTATTTGGTATTATTCCATAATATTCTGTAATATCACACACTGAGACAGACCCTCCCATGTTTTAACTTTTTATTTTGAAATCATTATAGACTCATAGGAAGTTGCAAAAATAGCACAGATTGGTCCTGTTGGATCTTTCACCCAGTTTCCACCAGTGGTGACATCTTCGCGGACAGCTCTGGTTTTGGCAAGTCTTTCTAGCGTCCTCATCACTGTCTCAGCCCAGTTACCCTAGACTAGAAGATGTGACTAAGCAATACGATATCTATCCTTGTTTTGCCACTATTTTTTGTCCTGAAGGCACTTAACATTCTCAGCCTTAATTTCTTTGTAAAATGAGGAAGTCAGTCACCACATTTATTTTTATTTTTATGTGACTGATTAGCTGAGAGCACAGCCACCCGATTGGAAGACATAACTGGTCAGCCCTTGCCTGAGCAGGCGCCCTGGTTATTTTCTTCCTCACCTTACATGGAACGAACCAAGAGATCTTAACTGAAATGTTGTTTAGGCTCACTTCTAACATAATTAAAGAGAAAAGAGGAATATCGAGTTAATTTAGAAAAGAATGACTTTAGAAAGTAGATTTAAAATGACTACTAAGATGTTTATTATCATTAATGACAATTCCCATATAATTGTAGTGGAGAGCTTGTTATGCATGAATCTGTTATTTGTAATTATTATGGCCTTTAGAAATTGCATGCCTTTTATTTCTGAAATTTAGGGGTGAAGAGCACTGTCAGTTTTTGTATTAAATTGTTTCAGTAGCACCTGGCTGGATATTTACAATGAATCTGAATGAAATGACTAGTTAGGTGACAATTGTGGATCAAAGTTGGATGTTTTGTGGACAAACAGACAAGACTCCAGCGTTATCGAAATTGCATCTAGGAAAAGCTTTCCCCTGAGAGAACTACTATGTTTTGCCTCAAATTCTCATCAGAGTATATCATTGCACACAAGCGCACAACTTAAATTCTCCATTCCATACGACCTCTTCAAATTTTGTGGGGTTTTTTTTTTAATTTAATGGCAAGGCGAGAATCTTCTGCCTTGCTCACGTGGTCTTGTGCTGCACGGGCTTTGGAATCGGCAGCCAATCCTGCCAAACTGAATTATTTTAGAGGTGAGGTGAGTAGTACAAGACAGTACTTCTTGCCAGCCTAAGAAAAACGAAAATTGCCAAGAGCTATAAAAAAGTAATACAGAAAGAGGCCGTGCTCCCATCCGTGATCAAGTCCACCCAACTAAATCATACTTACAGGAGGTTGTTGTTTTTTTCTCTTTCCCTCACTCTGTCCACATTGCTGATTCTCTCACACCTGATGATTGTTCTCAAATGCCCGTGCTTGGTGTTTCTTCGAAGCTTTGTGCACCGAGGGCCTTCGCCTCTGGACCTTCACTTGGGCATGTTCCTACCCACCTTGCTTCACCAGGCCACTGCGGAACAGCAGGAGCGCTTCTTCATGCCCGCCTGGAGCTTGGAGATCACTGGCACTTATGCTCAGACAGAGATGGGTCATGGTACGGTGAATTCAGTCTTCCTTCGGGTTGGGCGGGGCTCTGCGAGCTTATCGCGGACGGTGTGCCCACCATGTGTTAGCGTTGGCATCTCTGATGTTTAAATGTGATCTTTCTGCAGAGGCCAGGTTTTTCACAAGTCTTGGCAAGGACACTGCTTTGGTCAGTGGAAATTAGAGGTGGTGTTATCCCAGCAATAAGCTGATTTTTTTTTCATGGTTCCCCTTCAGGAGGGCAAGAATTACAAGTTTGGCCTCATTTACTAAGTGGCTTTTCAAGTTCACTGAAATGGTATAGAATTTGTGTGCATATAGAACCTGAATGCATTTTTCTTTTTTTGTTGCTGTCTGATCACCCTTACTACTGATAATTAGTAAACTTGCACAAATTGCAGAAGAAATACAGATTAACAGTATGTGTGCTGACAGGAAATGAGTGACTTATGTAACCAAAATATGCTGCATTTTATACCTTGGAGTTACCTGTGCGTTGGTTCAGTAAAGCTCTGAAGGTGGCTTGGCCAAAACAAGGTTCAGAAAAAATAGGATAGGTTGTACTTCCAGGCAGTTGGTTTCACACTACATCTATCGCCTTTCTTTTTTCTTTCCACCCCCACCTACCTTTTTCCATCTATTCTGAATTCATCTGTGTTCGACATCCATTGGCTTCTGGCTTCTCTGTTCTGCTCAGATTTCAGAACAGCTGATCTATTTGCCATTTGCTCCTTATTTCTGTGTGACTTCATTTTATGGCTACTTTGGCTTTTAGCTTCGCTGAATACTGTTTTACAGGATTTTCAAAAGACGCAAAGTGGAGTACTGTTTGGTTCAATTGTGCATCTGCAAGCATTTTTTCATTGTCTCTTCTGTTTAACGTTACCTCATTTTCTAAAACAGCTTCTTCTTTGGTGAAGGGAGTCTAAGTGTGTATGTCTGCTTCCTGGACTCCCACTCAGGGGAAGTTTGTGCATCACACGTCAGCTGACCTTGCTTGTTGTTCCACTTGGAAGTTCCTAAATGTTCCAGAGTTTAAGTATTTAATGAGATCTAGCATTATCAAAGCAGTTTGGTAAAAGGCTCTTGGCATTGGCTTTAGAATAGTATTATTAGGGAGAATCTCTGTTCCTCTCCAGTAAACATATGAAACTGGGAGCGCTTCCTGGTTACAGTAGTGAACCAGCCAAGACACAGTGAAGGCCTAGCATTGGAAACCTGCAGGGTGAACTCAGACCTTGTTATGGGGCTTTTCAGAATCCCAAAGTCATTGTTCCAGGTCTTTTTCCCCATCATGGTTATACCTTTTTAAGCTCTTGTTTTCGATCATTCCGAAATAGATTCTCAATTGACAAGAACTTTAGCCAGAGTCTCTCCCTGTCACGTTATCTTATTCTTTGTAGTTGATGTGGTAAACACAATACCTGTGAGTTGAAATTGGCATACTCGCAACTTAAGAGATGGGTTTCAAAGGGCAGTTAACGTCCCTGTGAAATTCATATCCTGTGATCTGAAACTGATTCTAAGCTGCCTTTACATTTGGTTTTGATTGAAATAAATGTTACGTATCCACTGCCATAGATGTGCACTAAATCAAGGATAGAAATGGAACGTGCTTGACATTTATATTTTCCACTTAATAGGAACCATCTGATTTAAGTATAGGAAATTGTGTATCTTGGTTATCAACCATTTGTAGCTCATCGACAAACGTTTTACTGTCGTTAGATTTTACTCTTCTCCAAGATACTAGAGCTTAAAAGACGGCAGGAGGAGAGCTTACCTTGTCCCTTTTACCCCCATATTCTATCTGAAGTGCATGTGATTTGTTTTCCTTAGGAACTCATCTTCGAGGCTTGGAAACCACAGCCACTTATGACCCTGAAACCCAGGAGTTCATTCTCAACAGTCCCACCGTGACCTCCATCAAGTGGTGGCCTGGTGGACGTAAGTGAATTGACAGTTATTGGATGTTTTCAAGACCTATTGTAAGATCGGGTTGAGGATATAGAGCTTACACAAGAATGTAACTTTGAAATGTAGAATAAACTTTTAAAGCTTAAACTATTGTAAGCTATTTCCCATTCTTGTGGTGCATGTCACAGATTCTTAACCACTTTACAGAGCACAGAAAGGACAGCTGCCTTACTCTGCTTTTCTTAGTGTTTCATCTAAACATTTCCACGTATCAGCATAGTTTCTATAGTCGTCGTTTAAAGTAACTTCCTATTCCCTGTTGGGTTTGTCATTTCCATATTGAAAAACATTTGAGTTATTTAAAAATTTTTTATCATAAATAGCTTGGACATGAAACTAATATCGTCTTCCATTCTGAATCATTATCTTAGGATATATATTTCAGATGGCATTAGTGATTGAAGGACTTTGTTATTCGCATTATGTATTTTATTTTTTTTAAAGATTTTTATTGGGGAATTGGGGGATGGGAACAGCACTGGGGAACTGGGGGAAGGGGAACAGACAAGTTGCTGTCCTTTTTTTGTTCTTCAGTCTAGTTGTGGAGGACGTTTCACTGGCCCAAGTTGGCACCATCATTGCGCTCTTCCCAGGCGAGGCAGATCAGTCGCCAGCTCCTGGACGGCCGCTCACAGCGGCTGCTGGCCGCTCACGCTGGCTGCTGGCTACACACGGTAGCCCATGGCAACCCACTGCAGCAGGGGCTGCAGCCTACCCCGTAGCCAGTGGTGACTCATGGCAGCCCAGCTTCAGGTTGAGCTGTTGTTCAGCATCTCAGCTGTAGAGGGCAGTGTCACTGGCTCTCATATGTGGGATCCGAACCGGGGCCCTCTGGCGTCCCAAGCCAGCTCTTAACCAACGCGCCACTTGGCCGGCCC